ACCAATATTCTAATTAGATATCACTATTTTTCCAATTACATTTTACCAATGATCCAATTACAATTGTTCCAATAATCTTAAATTTATTTTATATATAATAATTTTAAATCTCTAATTTTCTAACGTTCCAATTCAAATTCATCTAATCTTTGCCACCTTATCTTGCTAATATTCTTCTAATTACATAAAATCGAACTTACCTAATTACTTCGATAACATTCATCCAATTTTATTCCATTATATTTGCATAATTCTCTAATTCTATCTTCTGACTTTCTCTCGCTCACGTTGCCCTAATTTCTCAAACATACGTTTTCTGCTTTACAGTTGTACCATGAACTACATCCCAGCCTGTAATTAACGTTCCATCAACTGGTGTATACGATATTTCCAGCGATTCCTATCGGAGATCAATTCACTCATTGGCCACTGACAAAAATAATTGTTTTAATTAATCGTCACAATAGAAAATTCTCGCACACGATAAGATATACCGAGCGTTCCAATATTTTCTGATTAAACCGTACCACCAATATCTCTCGCGCATGACAGAATAAAAACAAATATTGCCCGGCATTCATCTGACAAAACAGATCTAGAGACGTCACAAAAGGATGACACACGCGTCCAATATGAAATTCTATTGCGTTCGCATTTTATTTGCACATGTTCCGTATGAAACATGACTTCCGCTGATCCTCTGTCACTAACATTTTATTTGGTTTGTCGAACGTTTTCAATGTAACCATAACATCGGTGAAACTTTTCTGGAAAAAATGTTCCACTTGCGCGCGACTTTTCGACAACGTCGAAAGTTCCGTACAAAGATGCATAGAAAGTTGCAACGAAATTACAGTTTTCATACATCATAGCGATGAAATTATGAACTTGACTGCAGCGCTCCGATAAATTTTGCGATATGCATCGAATTTTGCATACAAAATCAGCTTTAGCCATAATGTTGCAATTACAATTTTCGCTGGTGTATTAAGTTGCAAATAAAATTACAATTGGTCCACGGCGGTGAAACAAATTTCGGTTTGCATACAATGTTGCAGATCAAATTACAAATTGGTTGACATCGCTGCGACAAATTACAATTTTTGCATACAACGTTGCAATTTCGATCGTCGTTTCCGTGCAACGTAGCAACTTCGATTATATCTTGCACACAATGTTGCGATAAAATTACAAATTCTACGTACATCTTATCATTGAAATTATCAAATGTTTAAATAAAGCAAAATTTTATCTACGGAAAAAACATTCTCCTTCAAAATTGTTAACAATATTTTCATTGGATTCGAATATCACTGTCATTATTGCTCAACAATTGGATTCGAAGAAAAGAACTTTTTCCATGAATCGCAACACTGTAACTGAAAGCTTATCCAAAAATTGAAAACTGACATTTTGGTTGCAAAAGATACTGATCAAAAAGTCGTGCAGAAAATCCTGGTACACTCGGTTCTCCGCCGAAAGAGCTATGTTACAGAAATGGCAAAAATATGGTCGAACAGTTCTGAAAACAATTTTCTGTTTAACACGAATGATTTCTGTGTCAGGTTAAAGTAGCACTGCTAACGATTCTCGTGAATACGACGGGCAATCAGCAAACAAACGCGGTTCCTGAAAATTCGGCCGCATCCGCAAACGGTGGCACGCCCAAGGTAACGATCAAACCTATCAAAAAATCATTTCCGCCCTGTATATACCAGCTGATGAAATACCGGGTGTCTCAAAACTAGCGCCGAACCTCTCACCGATCTTCTGAAACGTTGCCGGAAGAAAGAAAAAAAGATTCTCTCTCACTGAAATATCCGAGCACACAACATCTACTAATTCTTTCCTTAAATAACTATAATATAACAACTTATTCATTAAATAATAATTAGTGAATAAATACTGTATAACATAGTTGAAGCGCCCGTTCATTTCAAACAACGATTCTCATTTAGGATCATCAATCGCTATCGTACACTTTTCTTCAAGCTTGGAAAATCAATTTCCGACGTTGCTAATTTCAAACCGTTATTTCTAGACAAAAACGGAGAACAAATGTTGAACATCGTTCTGAAAATTTCATTTACATAGCCGGGATCTTTCGAACAATTCTCGTCGATTCTGTGTTAATTCATTGGATAGAAGAACCGAGTAATTGTTTAAATAAAATCCTTTCAGTCTATAAGCAGATCATTTTATCATTTTATTTAACGAAGTATTACTACAGTTATTATTAGTTTATTTACTATTTTAGAATCGATAAAAAATTACATAAAATCGGTGAATCAATTTCTAACAAATTCATAATATTTCTAATAAGTCTCTAATAAATTCAAATAAATTCAAATAAATTTTCCAATAAATTCCAATAAATTCAAAGCGATGTTTAATATTCGTAGGTGCAATTCTGCATGCGAGCATAGTCGAAAATTCTGAATCATTCGAAGCGGTCTGGGTTAAGTAGGCTGACGAAATTGAATCACGGCAAAAGGTTAAGCCCGAATTTTCGCGGGAAGTATTTGACGCGCCCGGTTACTGTGTTCTCTCGTCCCGGCCCGGTAAAAAGGAGTTTCACTTCAGAGAAGCGGAGCGGCGGAAGAGCACCGCAAAATGAGGAACTACTTGAAGAGGATGGAGCGCGAGGGTGTGCAGAGGGTGAAGATGTTTCTGGTGATAACAGCAGCCTACGGTATCTTCTGGGGACCACTGTTCTTTGTCACCCTGGTGGATCATCCTGTCATCGGGAATCCGACCAGCTACGAGGTAAACGAATACCGAAGTCGACTGTGTGATGTGCCCTAAGTAAAATCATTTTCAAAATCTTCGGAACTTCGTGTGAACGATTTGACCTGATGGATCGCATTAAGTTGCATCGGATTGATTTTAACATGTATTGCAGTGCGAATTTTTTAACATTATTGACTTCAAATTGTAGCTTGAATAATACGCTTTCTAACAGAGTTATTTCGATTATCAGAAAATTTTGAAATTCTTTCAAATAATCGAAAAATCCTGGTTGCTGGTTCAGGGTAAATTACTCGATTTTAAAGAAAAGTTGCAGCTCGACTTTAAACTGTGTTGTTGTAGGAATTTTTGCACTTTATTGATCTTGAGTTGAAGCTTGAAGAGTCTACTTTCAGATAGGGAAACCTTTCTGGTTTCGAAAAGATTCGAAAATTGCTTCGAAAAATTGCGAGAACTATACCGGGAATTCTAAAAGAGACAAAAGATTGAATTCCAAAGGGAAATATCCGAAGAAATGTAAGAATTATTCCCGTTGAATTATTTTAACTTTATTAGTCTCAAATTAAAGCTTGAAGAATTCACTTTTTATTAGAGTTATAGTGATTTTTATTGAAACAATAAAGTCGATACAAAAAATCGAGAAAAGCACACCAGTGATTCCGACTGAGACAAAAGACCAACACGATTCATAAGAAAACTTTGAAACAATGTTAAATTCCTTCCCCGTCGAAATTTTTGGTCCTTATTAGCCTCAAATTAAACCTTGAAGAGTTTACTTTCAGATAGAGTTATATCGATTTTAATTGAAATAATGAAATCGTTTCAAAAAATCAAGGAAAGCACACCAGTGATTCCGACTGAGACAAAAGACCAACACGATTCATAGGAAAACTTCGAAACAACGTTAAGTTCCTTCCCCGTTAACATTTTTTATCCCTATTAGCCTCGAATTAAACCTTAAAAAGTCCGCTTTAAGACAGCAGCCGCGACCATCGCAAACAATTCCCGAAATGGTCCAGAAACACAACAGCCGACCGCTGATCTAGAAAGAATTGTCTCAAAAAGAAATGTAAAGAAAACTCGACGAATTCATTAGGTGGCATCTTCCACTATCCTTCTGTTTTCTTTTCGCGCGTATATGTGTCAGTTTTTTGGAGGATTCCCGCTGGTCGCAGGAAGAGCGTTGACCCATTTAGGAAACCGTGGCCGCGCCAGTTTACACTCTCCACCGACTGTCTGCCAACGACTTCGTAATCGCACTGGCACGCCGCATAGATTATCCCGAACCGTATCTCCCTTGGCAGAGAGTTCTCCGTTTTTGTTTGTCCGGCCCTCGAATTTTTTGGTCAGCCGCCGCGTTTCTGCTCTCCTCGATTAGAAGCTCGATTTGGGTCTCGAGAAGAGAGAGAGAGAGAAGAAGAAGAGAGCCGCGCACTGTGGCATTTCACATCAAAGCATCTTTTCCACGCAAGCAGAGTCAGTCAAAGGCCTGTTAACCCCCGTATCTTCCAACCCTCCTCGCCGGAAATTCGCCCATTTCCCTTCTCCGTACTGTGCAAACGTTATCTTCTTTTCAAAATGTGCCGCTGATGGAACGTAATCTGTTGGTTTCGAACGAAGTGACCTCGAAGATCCCATTTATCACGGCAATTTATTTAATCAAAGGAAAATTGGATGGCCGGGATGATACCGAGCGTCGCGCCCCCCTTTCGAAGTTTCTGCATTTTCCAGATCCTAATCGAATTTAGTACGCTGGAGTATAACGATGTAAAACCACTGGTGACCGAGTTGTTTATTATTGCAAAAGTATACACATACTGCGTCAATTGCGAGAAACAGAAGTTCAATAACACATTAAATTCGTTATTAATTTATTATTAATTCCATTTATTGGGTATCTATTATAATTGAAAATTTCTATTGTTTATCACTAGACTGCAAATTGTATATATTTATGGCAACGTTGGCTAGTTGCGATTTAAAAAAGCGCGAAGATCGAAAGGATTTTCAAACGTCAATGTACCCCAAAATGTACCCCAATGTCAACCCCAAAACTTCCCAGAATAGAAAAGTTATCTAATCAATGAAACCGAAACTGCAAAGTTAAAATTTACCATATAAAAGATATTGGTATAACTCTTCCGCGTTCCAAAATCCTGGTAACATTCGGTTCGCTCCATATATCGCAATAAAAATGAATAATAAAGACAAACCTGGACAAAAATTAGCTCAACACTCGACGTGCGAAAACGATCGAAGAAAGAACGAACTTGTTATTAAATTTCGATTTTTCACAGTCGATGCAGACAATCCTAAGTACGCATGATAGATAGAGCGTTGAAAAACGCGCAATCCAAAAAAACTTTCACGATTCTACACCCTACGGATCCGGAGATATCACAGAAAAAGTATAAGGGTAGCTTCAACCCCAAAGAATCGTCGATCTTCAAACTCGGACAGCTCCGCGCAGAAAAATCGTAGAACAACGATCTTATGCTCATTTCGAAGCTGGAAGTATCTGCTTTCGATCCGAGTGAAAGCAGCGCATTTGTTAAAATTTCAGGTGACACTACATATCGCGTACATCCACGCCTTCGTGAACCCGGTGCTGTTTCTGAGCCTGCACCGAGGGCTGCGCCAGGGCTTCTCCGAGTTCTTCTGCGGCTGTTGCGACAGCATCGTCAGTTGGATCCTAGGTCCGAGCATCCCCGTGGACACGGTGCAACCACCCCGATACCAAGAACCCATCGAAGCCGTGCCCTCGCCCCCGGAGCCGCCCCTGGCGCAGCCGAACAGCTGTCCGGACCTCACCGACGTCGCACTCCTAAAACCGCCCCTACCGCCGACGGGCAAACATTTACTGGTATTCGTAGACACTGCTCACGGGACACTTCTATCTCTGACTTTCGACTTCTCTCTATCTCTATCCCGTTAGGGATGGGATCAAGTTCGATATACAGCGGCGTAAATAATTATAGACTCGAAGCAACTTAAATTTTTAGTGACATTTAGATGGAAACTTGACGAAACATTATGTTTGTATATTTCTATTATCTCCTGATATAGTAATATGCAAATGTGGTGTTTCGTTAAGATTTTGTTAAGTTACTTTGAGTCTGCAATTATTCAAATTATGTAATATATGATATATAATTTGATAATTACAGATTCAATGTAACTTAACAAAAATTTAACGAAACGTAATATTTGTATATTTCTGTTATCTTTAACTATAGTAGTATATAAATATGGTGATTTATTAAGTTTTTGTTAAGTTACTTTGAGTCTACAATATTATTCAAATTGTGTAATTTGTGATAAACAATTTGGTAATTATAGATTCAAAGCAACTTAACAAAAACTTAAGAAAAAAGGTTATATTTGCATATTTCTGTTATCTCTAATTATCTCTAATATACAAATATGGTGATTTGTCAAGATCTTATTAAATTACTTTGAGTCTACAAATATTGAAATTATGTAATTTATGAAAGACAATTTGATAATTACAGATTTAAAATAACTTAACAAAAACTTAACAAAACATCGTATTTGTATATTTCTATACTAGAAATAATAGAAAATAGAAATACACAGATGTGACATTTTGTTAAATTTGCGTTTAAATATCATTAAAAGTGTATCAAAAAATCTTATTCGAATGAATTCTTATTCGAATAAAATCTTATTCGTATAAAATCTTATCCGAATAAATTTTCATCCAGATAAAATTGCTACTCGATTCGATATCTGTTCGATAGCGTCGAATACAATTTTATTCGGTCACCTCTCATACGAATAAAATTTTGCCCGATTTTCTAATCTAAGTTCAATTCCATTTGAAGATATTCCAACCCTTTTTCGAAGTGCTGACGAAACGTTCAAAACCAGCCAGCTAAATTCGTGCCTTTAACACACTTGATCCCGTCTCTACTCTTTCTCGCTCTCTTTCTCATCTTTCTTTTCTCTCTTTCTACACCCGGGAAAACTTTCACCTTTCACCCGGTTTCATCCCCTGTCCGTCGCATGCGCCACACCGCTTCTCTTTTCTTCGCGCGAGCTCTGCGATGCGACGCGACGTTGTTGCTTGCCGCCCGATTCAGCCTTTTTCCCGGCAGCTTTCGGCAGAGTTTGCTGTAGATCGTTCGCTCTTTGACCTTTTGAGGTCGCCGGGCTGCTGGTCCGATTGTGGCCCCTATTTGCGGAAGAAGGAAATTGTTGGGGAAGATGCTGTGGCACGGGGTATCTTTCTCGGTATAGCGATCGTTAGGGTCTTTAGGGGTGGGGTGAGATGGTTTTGGGGTCCGGAGTAAGGGGAGTTGCGTGGCAGAGTCTGTCATTTTATCTTTTGCTAGCATTTGATTCGGGGAGCACTGGAAGTGCTCTGGAAAATTGTCGGAATCAGACTAAAACCAGCAAGAAAAGTATAAAATAATCTCAGATGAAAAAATAACTTCATCGTGTTTCGATATTGTCTGGAATATTAACATAATTGGAATATTAACTAATAGTGACTTCAATGTTATAGTGATTTATTTTAGCAACTAATAGTGACTTCAATGTTACAGTGATTTATTTTAGCAACTAATAATGTACTGAACATTAAAAGCATTCGTTTTAGCAGCTAATAGTACTCTGGAGTATTAAAATAAATCATTTCAGCAGCTGATAGTGTCTTGAATATTTAAATTATTCATTGCGGCAACTAATTGTTCCTCAAACAGCAAAATAAATCATTCC